AACAAAACTGTGGTTGTTACTCCTGGGAGATAATATTTCTGCCAGTCAGAATCTCTCTTATAAGGTCTTCCCTCAACCCTGTGCTCAAATCGGAGGACCCTCTTTCTCTCTGTTCTGAGTTGAATGTCATTGCTCTGGAAAGAAATCTAGGCCCTTTAGAAATGCACTCCTTTCTACTGGATCTTCCTGAATTTTGTTCAGGGGAAATTCACACTTGGGACAGAAACTCCCAGAAATAAATTTGAACCTCTCCTAAATATATTAAAAAGGTATTTATTTGGGGCACTAGCTTACAGCCCTGATCAGGATCCTGACCCGGTAGTTCGGGGGAAGAGGGTTAGCCTGAGGCCTGGAATTCTCAGTGACGATTGGAAGGGTAGAAGAGTTAGGAATTGTGGCTTTCTTCTGGTTTTAAATCCTGGGGCGAAAGGAGCACCCCTAGTTCCGCCGAGCTCCAGGACCAGGACAAGACTCCTGGCGGGTTAGACCGTGGGCTCAGCGGTCCTGGGGCTTGCTGCTGGACCTGGCGCTAGAGGGATGCGAGTCCCACTGCGTACTTAAGCAGAGAGTTCAGGAAATGCTGCCTCTCCCTGGAGCTGAGACCGATTCAGTGGCAGAAAAGAAAGACCCCACAGGGCATAAGAGACCTGCCAGGGCCGAGCTGCCGGGCCTCCTTGGCTTTCAGACTCAAAACGGCCAGGCTGTTCTTTAGGCGTATGTTTTCGTTTTATTTCGTTCGGGGATGTTTGCGTATTTTTAAAAAATTCGCTCCAGAACAGAATGAGAAAAAAGTCAACTTGATTGTGGAGCGAAGCATAGCGCCTCTTGGAGCTGGGAGCCCAGAGAGAACGTGGATTAGGTGCTGGTTGGTGCTGTCCGGTACCCCAGCCCGCCCGCCAGCCCGCCGGCCCTCTGGCCTCCCTACCTCCCGGACTTGGTGATGACCATCTCCGTGCCCAGCTTGTGGAACTGGTCCCACAGCTCCTTAGCCTCCAGCGTCACCTTGGGGTCGTCCTCCACTTCGTCCTCGGGCTCCAGGCTCTTGAGAGAGCGCAGATGCGCCGCGGGCGGGTGCGGGCCGAGCGCCGAGACGTGCAGCCCCGCCTCGGCCGCTGCTGCTGCCGCTGCGGCCGCGGCCGCTGCCCCCGCCAGGCCCGGGTCGGGCAGAGGCTTGGCCAACGCGCCGGGCGGCAGCGCGAGCGCAGGAAAGAAGGAAGGCTGCGCCGCCGCCAGGAAGGCGGACATGGGGAAGTCGGCGGGCCGTGGCGCATGGAACGGGTGGTAAGCCATGGCGCTGGCTGCCAGCACCGGCTCTCTCATCGGGACATCCGGCCCAGGCGCCCGGGGGCCGGGGCCGGGGGCGCGCAGCTCGGACCCCCGGCCCGGGCGGCGGCGCGCGTGGAGGACGGACGGCCGGGTCGGCGGGCGCGGCAGTGGCTCCTTCTAGCTCCCGGTCCCGCGCTCCGCTAGGGGCGCGGGGCTCTGGGCGCGGGGGCGGAGGGGGCTCTGCTCTGGGCTGGGCTGGGCTGGCCCGCTCCGGCGCCGGGGACCACGCGCGACTGGTTAGATCTTGTCGTGATCTCTGGAAAACTGTGACTATCTCACATGTCCTGCCCTGCTCGGATCCCCTGCGCTAACGAGCCAGGCCCCCCTTGATTGCTGATTTTACGCTTTTTGGACCAATTGTGGGTCTCCGGGGGCGGGGTTTTGACAGCTCAGGCCAAGCTCCGGCCGGGAGGGGGGGCCGGGGAGAAGGTGTCGGAAGCCTCAGCAGTAAGAAAACATGTCAACAGAATAAAATATTAACCAATGACGGGCCGGCGGGCCCTGAGACCCCTCCCCCTGGCCTGGCCCCCACCCGGCCGCCCGCGCCCGCGGCTGCCTGCGCTGGGACTGGTAAGCGTGGAGGGCCGACCTGACCCGCCGAAAGGGCCTGAGGCTGGGGGCGCCAGGGTCCTAGGGCATTGGGGAAGGACCCCTAGCCGCATGCCGGCCCCAAGTGCAAAGCATTAACACATCCCAGAAATGAGAGGGGGGCGCCCTCCTTCTCTGGCGCCCGGAAGCCCCGCCACTCTGGCCTCGCCCCAACCTGGCCTCCGACCCTGCTCCCGGTCGCCGCCCCGGGTCCCTGTGCTCCGGAGGGAGGCTGCGGTCACTGGAAACCCAGACCGGTGGGCGGGCAAGTTGGGAGGTTCGGGCGGCTGAGGCCTCGGATCAGAACCCAGGTGGCGGGAGCCGGTGAGTGGAGTCATGGCAAAGCCCTGATGGGAATCGCGGGGCGGGAGCGGGACGCGGCCTTGCTCTGGGGAAACGCGGGGTCCGCCTGCCTCGCGCCTCAACTCACAGGAAGACTCAGGAGGAACCTGGAATTCCCGGGGAGCCCTGGATTCAGCCCAGTGTTCTCGACCCAGCCCTGAGTCCTCGGCGACCGCAAGAGCGTGTCCTCGGGACCGGGACGGTGAGCGCACCTTCCTCTGAGCACAGGGTGGCAACGCGCGGGGCTGATTCTAGACCTGGGATTCTCTGAACGAATTTTCGCCGCATCCGGTACTGGAGACGCAAGTCTCCCTCTTCCGAAACACTGGCATTCTTTCTCTGCTCGCAGCCACTTTTCTATAGTTTGTTTCTGCCTTTCAGAATCTCAGATCTCCCAAGTTCAGGAGTACTGAGTAATGCGTGAGGGAGTCGAGGTGTCTGAACACCTGTGGCTGAAACCCACCCCTCCGCGATCAGTTTTCGTCATCCGTGTTCTGGCAGCTCCAGTATTCGCCCCTTACACTGCGGTACGCGCGCGCTCGTGTGTGTGTGTGTGTGTGTGTGTGTGTGTGTGTGGCCCAGTGTGGTGCCCTATACGCACAGCGAGAGTCATAACTCAAGGTGTGCCAGGGAGAGTAAAGTGACCACACACGTGCCTCAAATCCGGCTTTGGCGTGGACCCTTGGGCTGATTCCTGGAGTCTTGTTCTGAAAGACAAGAAGTATGCAGTAGCCACCGGTGACACTCCCTCTCGCACAACCAATACAAGTGAGTTCTGCTCTCACTGGCCCTCTGCCCTCATGGTGGGTGCGTACATCCCACATCCAACAGTGACCAAGGCATCCTGCCTGCCTGCCCACTGTGAGTACCGATCTCAGGGCACCTTGTAGCTGAAAGCTCAAATTGCGGTGTTATGGCCGATCGCCCCGGGCAGTGCCGGGTTGGGACCTGCCAGAGCGGTTTGGCTTCCGCGACCTTTTTTCTTCTTTCCTGAGCTAGTTTGGGGGCCCTCATAATTCCCCAAGCTTCACACACGTGGGTGTCAGCCCCACAGGATTTTCTTCAAGACCTCTGTCTTAGCTAGGTCCTTCCTCTCTTAGTGCCTTCTTTGCCATAGGGAATCTTCGGCTATCAGCTGCTCAGTTTAGGAAGCTGGGGCAGGATCCATTGCAGCTTTGCATAGGCTCCAATTTTGACGGGATATAGCCCCTCAGGGAGGAATGTGTGTGGACACATTTGCGCGGCCGGTGAGGTGACCAAATAATAGCCAGGACAACTTTCTTAGACATGGGCCTTAAAACCGTGAAAACATTTGTAAAGTCGTATGTGTGCGTGCGCGCGTGAACGTTTACTTTCGTACTTGTTCGAATGAGTGTACGTCTAAGTGTGTTCATTTTGGACATTTTCCTGAGTTCGTAACTGGACCAGGGGTCTGAGGACCAGGGGTCTGAGGACCTGGGAGTCTGGAATATGCAGGTTTGGATTATTTGCCCAGGAAATCCGGTGGCGACAGTGCAGCGGCTGCATCTGGGTACCGCTATCTCACCTACGGAGCCACAGATCTGCCCTGCAGCGGTCACAGGCTCTTTCGCCAGTCAAGGATCCCACCATTTGCCCCGCCCCACTCTCTGGCAATTACCCGGAGGTCCTGATACAGCCGCTCTCAAGATTCTATACTGATCTGCCCCCCACCCCCCGCAATCCCGCCCCCCAAGCCAAACACTCCAGCTAGGAATATCCCTGGATCATCGAACACTGGCGCTGGGGCGGCCCAGTCAGTCCCTGGAGCGGCGCCGTTAGGCTCCC